CTTAAAAACCCCCAGGGATGGGGACTCCAAACCTCCCTGGGCAGCCCCTTCCAATGCTTGACAGCCTCCTACATTTCCAAATACATTAAGCACTTCCTGAACTGCAAATATACCCTTGCCTAGTCCAGAACTGGGAGCCACCACTGTCCCTACTGCCAAGACAGACAATTTTGGATACTCCTCCCTTCTCCCTCCTTAGGAATGTCAGAAAAAGCCTTTTATTGTCCAAAGCATTATTGTTTTGCTTAGGTACCACGCACACTTTGTACAACAAAGAAATGAAAAATGTAGATATTTGCAGTATGTCTTATAAACTCTAAGATTTAAAAAGAGATTTGCCCGTGCTGAAGGCATAGCCTTCAAGCACTTTTTTTGAGGAATATCTGATTTGGTAATGCAAGGAGATAAAGAACTAAACCTCTATTTCCTTATGATGTGTAGCTCTGCCATACAATCTTGCACACTCAAGGGAAGAAAGGGGGGATCCCATTAAATAGAATTTGCAAAATTCTCTTGCATTTTACCTTTATTGAGAGCAGCAATTTTGGAGTGGAGGGAGGGAGGCCTCCTGTTCTTCTCAGGAGGGCTCCAGACAAGGCGAGGCAGTGTCTGCTCACTTCTCTTGGCTTTCAGCTGCTCCACTCTGATCATCTTTTTACACAACTTTGAGTGCTTCTGCTGCTCTGAACTTGGCAGGGAAAGTGGAACAGTAGGACAGATAGGCTTCTATAGTGGATCAAAGGACACAACTGCCCCTGGAAGCCCTTCCTGGATAAATTACAGCCTATGGGGAAGGTAAGACTGGAAAAGATCAGTAACCATTTGAGAAGTAGCTTCTTCATGTGACTGCAGGTGGGACAAGTCCAACATTATCTGCTTTCTCTACTTTCTGATTGATTGTAACAACACTGGGGAGTTTTGTTGTCCATGGAATTCAAGATGAGAATCCACAAAACAGGATCTCAATTCCTTAGATGTCTCCCATTCTGGAAAAGAAATCCAGTACACACCAGGGTGAAAGAAACAAAAACTGCAAATTTACAAAAAGAATGCTACTTTTATTTTCAAATGCTGTAAAAAGCCTCATATAAATTTTTATAATGCTTCTATGTAACTTTCCCAACCACAACTAATGAAACAGTCTAGGAAAAATATAGCAGTTGCATTTTGACTCCAAGAACGAGCTGCTGTGAGATCCCAACAGTAAAGGACAAGGTTCAGTGTGTTACAACGCCTGTAATTGCTTGTGTTATTGAGAAAGTGAGAGCACTTCCTAAGCATTACCTGGGCTAGACTGCAGCATTCCCTGCTTGCTGGGCACAGGAGGAATGTCAGCCCTGGGGAAGGAGCTGAGAGCAGAGCTGTGTGCTGTTCCTGGTGCCCACTCCTGGTGCCCCCTGGCTGAACTGCCCCCAGCAGGTGCCCTTATCCCAGACTGTCTCCAACGGCTCAGGTGGGGAACAATTGACCTATAAAAATAACACTTCTTTAACTCTCCAGCAAGGCAAATTGAACAGTGCAAATGCAGCATCAACAAGATTTGATTTCTGAATGCTGGCAATTTTTTTAACTCCTTTTGCACGAGACAACCTCTGCTGATGTCCTGTACCTAAGGCCACTCACTCACGCTGATTGGAGATGGAACGAAGTGCAAAAGCTCAGCTGCAGCTCCCAATCCAAGCCTCCTCCCCACTTTCAGGGAATTTCAATCCAGAATTTGGATTCAGGCTCTCCACTTCCATTGATGCACTCAAGTTTTCCCTGCTGGAATAGGTAAACATCCCAGCAAACCTCTGATAACAATTTGCATACACAATTTAGCGTTTTCACAAAAGTTTAACAAAACATACTTCCAGAAAATAAATTTTCACATGGTTGCAATCATCAAGCCATTTCAGGATCTTTGGTACTCCAAGAATAAGAAAAATAAATGGCACGGTGACAAACGTTGCCAAAGGAAAACACACAACCATCCAAAGGAATCAGATAGAAATAACAAAATTAAAGATATGTTGCAGTTCCTTTTTTTTTTTTTGAAAGCCAGTGTAGATTAACCTGCTGTTCTCTTTAATCCAGTACAGTGTCACAGTTTCACCTTTAAAAAAAACCCCTATCATCCTAAAAGCAGTAGTTAATATTGTTTAACTTGATTTACTGATTAAAATAATGCTATGTTTACAAAAAAAATTTAAAAACTACCACAATACAGGAGTTTATGCTAGATAGGCTGCAGGCTGTTTCCTTATGGATATAACTCCTATGTGAGCACTGATATGATTAATCATCTGCAGTTTTAAATTAGTATTATTTTTAGTGTTGCAAGTAGAAGGGTTGAGCTTTTTCCCAGGTTTGTAAACCAGTGAGTATGTACAGACATAGTTGTTTATAGCTTTAAATTAAGTGTGTATTTCTCTGCCCTCCCCTAAGCCCCACAGGAAAAAAAAAATCACCAGTATCACTGAGCATTTGCAGTTTCCATGAAACTGAGCTTGTCTCAACAAGTTTGAGCAAAGACTTCTTTGTAGGTCATGTTAATGGGGTTACTGTGCTCTTCTGAAAGGTGGTGGCTGCAGGAATTCCAATTCCAGCGCACACGGTGCCCCATGGATGAAACTGGAAATTAAAACCAATGAAAAGTATTTTGAATAGCAGTGTCCTTTGAGGCCAAATTTGCATCTCAGCATCATTTTTCCTGCCTGAGTTTTCTTGGAGCCAAGGCCTTAGTAAAGGCATTTCCTTTCCTGAGAAGCCTCAGGAGCTGTTGGGGCACTGGCAGAACAATGCCTGAAAGGTGGATTTAAGCGAGTTATTGTTTTTCTACAGCCTTTGGATGGCCCCAGGTTGAGCCTCAGCACACTGACAAGGCTAAGAACAACACTGGAGAATTTTTAAGGACCTTGCCCCACAGCAAGATGTTAATTAGTGTAAGGTCTGGGAAACGTGAGAGATCAAGGAGCTGTTCCCCCATCAGTCCAGCATTCAGGCAGAAGCTCAGCTTAGCTTTGCTCTAATACTGGATGGGCCTGAGGCAGTGGCTACTCCTCTTTGAAGAGCTAAAGACAGAAAAAACTGTTTGGTATAAATAACAGATATTAGATGCTTCAAGGGAGACAAAACTGTGGAGGAAAGGCTGGATCAGGGATCCTGGCTGGATCAGGGAAAAACACCTGCCCATCACAGGCACTGATGCACAGAAATCTTGCTGGCAAATGGGCTCTTATGCAACAGATCAACATGCCAGTATGTTTTTCAGAGCATACAAATAACTCAAAACAGCTGATACCACAGTGCCTAACAGCAATAAATATTTCTCTAATGGCTTTATAACAGTAGTTTCCATATTGCTACAAAAGTCTGTCCAGTGGAATCTTTCCTGCTGTATGCCAAAACATCGTGTGCTCTGCTCAGAAGGGGCTGCAGAGGTTTTAGGGTGCCTTTCACTGGTTCAGAGGAGAGAGACAGCAACAGTGACTCTGCTTGTTCAGCCACTGGGGAATTGTTCAGTGCTGCACATCTCATTTGACCAGAAAATGACAGCAGAGATCTCTGCTGTACTGTGACAGATTCAAAGCCCTGCAGATAAGCTGTAAGTACAGGCAGAGAAAGTCACCAGTGACCAGATAATTGCAAACTGCTCTGGGAGTACAACTCAGTCCTGAACTGCTGCTGGGCTGATGAACAAAACAGAGCCTGCACATGGAGGTATTTCTGCTTCTGTTTCCTCTGCCCAGGGAAAGGACACCTGGCTTGGCTGTCAGGTTGTCACCATCCTGCAGACTGGCCACTGTCGCAGACATTTTTCCATAGAAATCCTCTTTCAGATTTGTCCATATTCTGGGAAGCAAAGGCCCAGAAGATGAATGTAAACAATTGTTATCAGCTGCTGTGGAATGCAATAGGATGCACCTGTGATTGGCTCGTCTTCCATGTTTCCAATTGGGGGCCAATCACAGAAGCAAGCTCGGGGACAGATTCCCTGGAGACAGAACTTTGTTATTCATTCTTTCTCTCTATTCTTAGCTTAGCAGCTCTCTGCAACTTCTCTCCTTATTCTTTTTAGTATAGTTATAAGGTATTATATCAATAAATCCAGCCTTCTGATCAAGAAACAAGATTCTCGTCCTTCTCTCACCATGGAGACCTCCTCATGTCGCTGTAATAGGCCACAAGAACAATTAGGTGGTCCCTGGAAATTGGGCTGCAGATTCAGCTGATCCCTTCTAATCCCATGGCCACACCGAGTGGAGATCCTGGGAGAAAAGGAACTCACTGGAGAGTCTGAACCTAGTGGGACACTCAGTTTCCTCTATGTGAGCAGAGGCTGTGATTCAGGAGAGGTTAAAGCAGGATCCCTTCTGCCTGCAGCTGCTCAGGGAGAAAAAAAAAGAAAAAGCACCAATCTGATCACTTCTCTAGGACACATTTTGCACAGAGGGAAGAGAATGTTTGAATTATGAGCAGCTCAAAGGTAGTCTGCTTTAGAGCAGAGGCAGGAATACAGTCTTGGAAACTGCCATCCCCTCAAAACTTCCTATCAGAGTGTTTCCCTTCTGCTAAAAATATTGATACTTTTTATTCAGATTCCTTTTTGCTTCTGAAATTGCCAGCAGGCATCATCACCTCTAACAGCAATACTGCCAACGATCATTTAAAGCAGAAATACCACTAAACAGATCACAGGGACTGCCTCACTGCCACACACTGTGGGACAAGGGACAAAAGGGATGATGATAAAGGGCTGATAAAGTCCTGCACTCAGGGCAAGAGAGGGCACACAGGACACAAGGAGGCCCAGAGGACACTGCTATTTAAAATAATTCCATGTGCTACACTCATGGGGGATCTGCAGCCCACAAATGGAACACCCTTGAGCAATTGCTCAGAGAGGTTTGCAAATGTGGACAGTTTTCTTTATACTGCATATCTAAACCCCACCAGCTGAGCAGTACAACACCAATGCTGCATCAAATGATATGTTTCCCTCCTGGGTGGATTAGATGGTTTACAGTACAAACAAAGCCACAGTACAGAGAGGCATAATTAACCGTTATCCACACGTAGGCAGTGCAGGAAAAGCGATGCACATTCCTTTTATTCCAGTACCTTTGTATAATAAAGTTAACAAAAATATTCAAATATTAAAAAAAAAAAAGGACAAAAAAAAAAGAAAAAAATAAGCCAGCTGGCACTGCCAACTAATTCCTGTAGTAGTCTTAGAAATCCTAATCCTGTAGAATTTCCATGTGAAATCGATGCGCACCAGAGTCGATGTGTTGATAACTAACGCCAAGCGGGCCTGGTGATGCAGCTACCTGAGGTTTGTGTTTGCAATTTCCTTTGGGGGGTTGTGTTCTGTTTCACAGCTTCCCAGCTTTCATGTAGGAAGGGATGGAGCCACGCTGGGTGAGCCCTTCAAACCTCTTGTAGGTGTAATTGAGGAAAACCCAGTCTTTGGATTTGTAGTCGGGTTCTGTCGTGTTTGGCACTAGAATTCAGAAACAAAAGCAAACACACATTAAAAGAGTTAAACCCAGGCTGCTTCTTAGAGGACTTTTCACAGAGCTAAACAGCCCTGAACTCTTATTTCCTTAGTCAGCAGAAACTCCTGGAAGAAATCCTGCTTCTAATCAGGTCAGTTGCCTTTTGTCAATGAGTTATAATTTCAACATAGACTCAGAAGCAGAAAAAGAGAGGGTTTTGTTTTGCCTTTTTTTTTTTTTTTTTTTAATTATGTGTACACACTCTACCAGGTTTCCATATCTTGACAGAAGACTCCAACACACCCACAGGATACACAATTACAAACCTCATGACATTTCTGATGTTCTGATTTTTAGGTACCTACACGCACAGTACCATTTTCAGTGGGTCTGAAATGCCAAAATAATACAAATGTTCTTGGAACTACCCAAATATGGACATAACCAACTTAGGCACTGGAGATGGGTTGCTTTGCATTAAAAGGACAAACTTCCTCACCATTACATAAAAGCCACTTCAGAAAAAAAAATTACCAACAGCTTTTGGATAATTCTTATGGTTGTTAACACAGCTACACTTAGCAGACAGCAATTAATCATCTGCCAATCTTCAAGTAACTGAAAACAGTGGGACCTGAGACTATTTGTATGTCACAGAATCAAGTCTTTTATATATGAAAATTTCCTGTAACTTGCCAAGAGAAATCAACAACTAAAAAAAAACCCTGAAGTGATTTACAGAGCAACTCAGGTTCATTAAATACTGCATTAAGTAATCAACTGTCTGAAAATTCTGACCCACAAATATCCCAACAATTATGTTTGGCACAAACCTCAAAAGTCACTGATGATGAAAAGCAAATCAGTGCATGGTGTTTTACCAGAAACTGGTTAGACAGACTGCCAGGCAGAAAACTCCACTGCTTTCTGTGCTCACTACCTCTGCAAACCATTTTTACCAAGAGTTTGGACTCTGAAAAACTCTGGGCTTTGCAGCTATGAAAGATCACAGGTTTACACTTATATTTCAAAGAAAATATAGAGACTTGATCTACAGACTAACTTGATTGGGTCATTAGAAAAACTAACACAAACAACAACAAAAGCAGCTGTGCAGTGTTCTGGCATGGATGGAGATTTGGAATTTACAATGGCAGTCTCACCTGGCTGTAAAATGTCTGATTCAGGAAATTCATCAAAGTTGGAAGTATCATCAATGCTTTTGATTTCTATAGGGATTGCAGCTGGTCTTTCCCTGCAAATAAAGATCAATGCCAGAGGAGTGAATGTTGGGAAATGAGACATTAAGTTCCAGTTTTAACTTAGCTTTTACACTTAAAGCTTCCCTTAATGCAGAGCACAAGGGTTCCACTGAGTGCATCACAGATGAATCTGACTCTCCTGTTTGCTGACACCATGGGGAGATTGTTTGGTTCCTTATCTCCACTGGTGTCTTCCTGGCAGGCTTGGGGCAAATATCATTTTCCCATTGAGAGAGCATCCCACGCTTATCTGCCACACAGCTATCACCCTGATCTTGTCACCAGCCACCACTGTGGTTACCCTGTTTCACAAACCCAGCCCAGCAGGATTGCACTTGCACCCAGAGCTTTACAATTCCAGTGCTCACCAGCCTGGACCTCATCCAAAACCTTTGGACTGTAGCTCCTCTTTGTGACATTCAGCATCTCTCTCCCAAAGCAGGCTGCCTCTGCTTTAGCACCTCCAGAGCCAGGAAGCCCTTGAAGGAGTTTTAAGGTGGCTTTTGAAAGTTCCCAAGGAATCTGTGCCAGCAAAATGCTCACACTGGGACACAGCACTGTGGGGCAGGCAGTGATTTACACCTGTAAACTCACCACAGGTCTAATTACTACACTTACAATGAAATCCACAGCCACTCTACAACAATTTCTTTCTGTTCTGGGCAGTCTGGAATAATCTGAGCTATCTCAAGTCAGTTAAACTCTGGCCATTTCTGTGCATGTCAGCAAGGCCAGAAAACCTTCAGTGTCAACCCACTACTGCCAGTAGCTGCCTTTCAAAATAAAAGATAAATTGGAAATAATTGTCCTTGACATCACAATACATGAAATTCTTGCTTTCATGGCTTTTATCCTCCCTGTAAAACATGTGTGTATATACATACCTGATATGTCCCCAGTCTACTCCTTCAAAAAATGGATGACTTTTTATTTCCTCTACTCCATTGCTACCAATTCTGTTTTCTGAGTCGATACAAAATCTGGAAAAGAGGAAAAAACAAAGAGAATGTTACAATAATTTCCACAGAAGCAACAGTATCCAATATCAAGAATTTGAAGAAGTTCTGTCAAATTGTTTCACCACTAGGGTTAACATCAAAGCAGCCCATTGCATCTAGGAGAGAAGGCAAATAGTAGAAGCAGAATATTGTTAAATCCTGAAACAAAAAGCTATGATGCCAGTGACTGATAGCTTTTCTAAACTGCTGTATCCCCATCTTCCAGGTTTGTGAAAAGTTGCTGCATGTTCTGGTCCTGTAGGATCAGTTTGGAATAGAGGCTCAAATCCCTTCTACTGAGAACTGCCCTGGCATGTTCTCAACTATTTAAACATCCCTGTTTCAAAGTCAAACTAAGAAGAATAAATATACTTAGTAAATCAGGACTGCTCTCTGATGTTGTAGTTTGGAATCTGTCCCAGTGAGCCAGCACATTCCAAGCATGCCATGTCCCTGTTCTCCCCCTTCCCTCTCCTCAGAGGTGCAGGTGGTGCAAAGACCCAGGGCCTGTTTCTGATACAGCCCTGCTGCATAACCTCAGCTCAGACCCCACAAGAAATTGTCAGTTTATCAGAAGTAGCCATGAAAAAGCAGGAAGAAAAAGGTGAAATTGGCGACAGAGGATTGGTGGGATGGGGACTGTTACCTGCTCCAGCAGGCCAGAAGGAAAAGACTAAAATCCCAAAGAAGGAAAATAGGGAGGTGGAAGATCTCTGACAGCAACTCAGTGACCTCAGGGATTTGTTCCAGGGAGCAGCAGAGGCTGACTCTTCTCCTCTGGACTGGAAAAGCCTTTCAAGTATCTCATCCAGGAGATGGGAACACCAGCCTTTGCCTAGGAATTCATTAAATCACAGCCATTTTCTCCATTTTCTGCATATGCAGCACAGCAGGTTAGGCTACAAATTTATCCAGCTATAAATTAAAGTTCTTTTTCTTGTAGTTGGGTGTCAGTGGGGAAGAAAACCTCCCTGTATTTGTATTGCAGCCCAGCAGGCTGGGTGGTGCCAAGGACTAACAACAGACCTCAAACCTGTAACAAGACTCAGCCACAGGATTTGTCAGGCTTTGTCTGAACTTGAGCTTGTTTTAGTTTGGATTTATCTCTATCCATAGCCCTTTAGCTTTATCTGCATCTCCCTTTAAGCTAAAACACACGTTGCCTAACTTGTCCAAGTGTAATGGACAAAGTACCCAAAATGCCCAGGTGGCTGCTGTCCAACCTGTTTTGACCTCATTTTAATAGATTAACTAAGAAGTCCTACCCCAATTTTAACCCTCCTCCTTGTGGAGGCAAACTGATAAATTAAAGTAGTCATTGTGTAAGTAGATGCATCAGCAAGACATGCTAACAAATACACTGAAATATCTAAAAATTCCCCAAACCCAGCCAGGGTTGAGGAGGAAGAAATCCTCAGCAGTAATGCTCTACTCTGTTCAGCAGAGAACTTGGGATGTTGACAAGGAAGGTTGAGCAGAACAGCAGAGAAATAGATACTGAAAATGCAATATTAACTGTTTGACCAGACTTATTCATGAGGATTGGTGACAATTCAATTATTTGAGCTGTTAGTATTACTAGCTGGATATAGGATAACTATTTCTTGTATTTGCTATGGTTTTATAGGTTACTGGAGCACTGATGGAACTAATTATAAATTCTAGTTTTGTCAAGTACATTCCCCTTTTTGCCTGTAACAAAATCATATAAGGCTTAGCTTTGAAAAGGAAAAAAAGGAATAAGTATCAAACCCAAAAACAATATGCCTCTCAAACCCTCCCAAGGACAAGAGGGTAATTTCTGTTAAATGAGGTAATTTCTGTAAAATTTTACAAGAGGGTCATTTCTGCCTGACCTTGTCACCAAAACCTTCACAAAAACCTCAATGCAAACTAAAAACTGGGATTTTGAAAGAAGTGAGTAAATCCAAAACATCCCAAGATTTCTATTCAGTGCATTAAATGCTGATGAGTAGTTATTTTCTTGCCACCTCAGAGAAGAAAAAAAATTCTGTGTTGATCACTTTATTTTTGATCTGCTCTGTTTCTCCTTATACCATGGGACAAATCAAGATCATTCCAGCTTATTTCTTCATGTTAAACAAGTGGCAAAGAGAAAAAGACTTAAAAATCCATCAGGGATGGTGACAGAAGAAACCAGCATAAAGCTTCCTTTACACACAACAGGAGTTTACCCAGATGGAAGATGACCCTAGCTGGGCAAGAGGCCAGAATTGGGTTTTTCTTACTGACCTTAGAATTAAATCCTTTGCTTTCTCTGAAATGGGCACCTCTGGAGGAAATACCAATGTTTCTTTCCAGTTCATAACTTTCCTGTAAGTCTCTTGTGGTGTTTCTGAGCAGAAAGGTGGATACCCTGTACAAACAAATAAAAAATTATTAAACTTTTTCTAGGAGAGCAGTGACCTGGGCCTCTGCTTTTGTCAGTGGGGCTCCCAAATATAACAAGTATTAGCCAGAGGTTTTCTCTTCTGAACAAATGGACCCTGTTACCTTTGAACAACTCTTACTTGGGGTTTTTAACATACCTATTAGCATTTCATACATAATCACTCCCAAGGACCACCAGTCACACAGCTTGTTGTAGCCAGTCTGCATAAACACTTCTGGAGCAATATAGTCTGGGGTTCCCACAGTAGAATATGCCTGGAAAAAAGGAATCATCTCTTTAAAAGAAAAATACTGTGGTTTTACACTTTGCAATTCCTTTTCCTGGGGATTTACATACAGGATCTTGTTCTTTGGATGAACAAAATGCTCAATTTGAGAATTCACAGGAACTCAAGTCCCAAGAATATTATTCTTTTTTATTAATAAACACAGAGAACCTCAAAAGTAAATGGAAATTATCCTCTTTAATGAGATGAAATCATAGAATAATGCAACTGCAGTATCAGAAGGTCATCTTAGCTTAAGTTTCAGGTAGCTACATTATAAAAATACCCAAGAAGTTCTATTGTTGTGGTCTTTGTCTATTTTTAAAGGCATAATTTGCTAGATTCCCAAGTGTGGCACTCATGATACACAAGCCATGTATTGGGAGTTTCTCTTTACTGATGAAAAATCCTCCATGAGGCAGGAAGGAGAGGAAAAAACCAAAATCCAACAAAAAACACAAAAAACCCCAAAAACCAACAAACTTAAAGAACAAAAAAGTCCCCCAAAAGCAGTTTTGCCACAAAAATGCTTTACATTGATTTGTCTGACCATAAAGAAACCCTTTGTTTAATTGAACAGACCTGAGATATTTAGGATTGAACCAATGGAAAACTGAAAACGTAGCTCATTTCCCAACAGTGTTGATGCAAGTTGTCATTTTGTCCTTTTATTGTCTCTGTGGGACTGTTCCTCATCACACAGTTCCGCCACATCAGCCTTTACTGGACTTGAGATAAATTCTTTTCAGGGATCTAATTCCAGGCTGGAATAAGGCTGTGAAATACAGCCCCATGAGGCAGCATGGTGGCTGCAATGTAATCTCATTTTGTCTCATGAGGAAAGAAGAGAGCACCCAAAAGCTTTTGGGGAATACTGCAGGAGGTCACTTTTTTTTAAAGGGTGTGGAAAAATAAATGGTCTTGAGGTTTTTTTGGTGAAAATCATGGGCAGGGATGGAAGTCTGAATGGCTGACAGACACTTTGCTTTGGTTCAGTTTATGCCACAAGTTCCCTCATTACTGACCACTCCTCACCACAAACCCAGGCTAGAGCACTCCAGCACCAACACCCTCCCACAGCCTTTCCACCACATTCCCTTTCAGCAGAATGGGAATTCCCCAGAGCTCTCTGGAAAGGAATTCTGCAGTCACACACCTGCTTGTGACAGAGCTACAGGAATCAGAGCCATGGATCCACAGCAAGCCAGTGCTGCAGAGAGCCCCAGACACAGCTTGGCCATGGGGCTGAGGACACCTGAGGGCTTGGGCCAGATGCTCACAAGGCAAACAAAGGCACAGAGAGGAGCAGGGCCTTGCCATTCCAACCTGGATCCCCTTCTTTTGACTTATTTGTGACTTTGGGAGCTTGTAGAGAGCCACATATGAGGATCTTGCAGGTTGTAAAAACCAGGAGCATTAGCACTGAGTTAATTTAACACTTCCTCTAACTAGTTTAAAAGCAAACCAAGAATTATACATTAATTAACTCACCAGCTGTCGCCTGTTCTTCTTCCATGTTTCTGCTTTCCTCTTTGAGTTCATATTCTGAAATGCTAATTTGCAAAGTAGTTATTAAATAACAAGTGTATTTGAGAATTAAGAGAAGAAAGATTTATAGGGCTCCAGTTTTAAGTAACTATCTTGGATATTTAGAACCCTAGTCTAAAAACAAATGCTTGATTGTAACTGAAAATGGGAACATGAGAATAACTACTGTCCAATGCACAGCTGAAATTCATGTAAGTAGGACACATATCAGCAATTCTAAATTAGAACTTGTTCAAACTTTTAGATCAGCTTCTGAAAAGTTTCAGGAGACTGTCACTGACTGCAGTCCTTTGGCACATGGAACCCATGTGCCTCCTGAAAGAGCAGTTCTGTAACTTCACTAACATAACGAAAAATACATTACAATACAGATGCATTACATTATGTGTATTCGTATCTGTGTATGAATGTGCAAAAATACATGACCACTGCAGAAATCATCATTTCTTGCCTGTGAAATGCTCCCATGACCCAGGGAACAAGCATTTCCAGTTTTCCAATTAAATGCAATCAGCCTGCTCCATCTTGCTTATCTCAGCAGAAACACAGGTACAATGTACAGCTGCAGCTCAAAACCATTTACATGTTCAACTAGGACAGCTCATACTCACAGAAGTCACTTGGTGGGTTATGTGTGAGGTTCCTGTAGAACTCTGTTCTGTGGGCTTTCTTTAAACCTGTGCAGAGCCCAAAATCAGACAGCTTTACATGACCCTGAAAACACATAATCAGAGAACACAAAACCATTATTTATATAGGTAGTGTCTGGGCGGAAAAAGAGGTTTAATCACTGCACATGCCCTCTCAGGCCATGATGGACTGGCACAGGACAAGCAGGGGAGCAAAGACTGAACCTTGGTGTACTGGAAGGGTCTGTTTTCTCTCCAACAGGCTATGGCCTCCCAGGAATGGTCAAATCTACAATTTCCCAACAATTGAGGGCAGCTACTTTGCCTGGTTTTGTTTTGAACTGTGACTGAGCAAGCCTTCAGGACAAAATTCCTTTGCTTTGTTTTGACAGTAACCTTGGCTTTAATCAGATTCCCAGACATCAGTGCTGATAGAACCCATCAAACCTGACAGACCTGTGCATGCTGGGATAATGCCTGGCCTCCATCATCTTGAAGATCTTCTCCAACCTAGATAATTCCATGATCTGGTGATGCTGACAGGGTGCATTTCATGGCCAGAATGGTCAGTCTAACTGAGGGAGTTTCCACAGCTGAGTGGGTGATGAAATAAATGTAACTGTAGGAATTGAACATTTAGTATTGTCGGAATTGTCCACAGCTACTTCAAGATACATGAAAGGAATGCTGCACCTTTTAATGTGTATGAATATCAGCATCTGGCCATGCTGAGTGGGTTTTTTCCATAAAAGCCTTGCCTTAAAATGGTTATAAGGCTTCTGAGTAAGATGTAGCTTTGTTTAAACATACTGGTGTTCTCCAGAGAAAACACATTGGGCATTGCCAGCCTTCCCTCCAGCCAGCTGAAATCCCTGGGGTGGCACCAGTGGCTCCCAGTGATGTGCAGCCTGGGATCTTGGCAGCACCAGCAGTTGGTGAGGCCAGTACATGCCTTGGCATCCAGCAGGAGATTGTCTGGCTTGATGTCCCTGTGGATAAATCCCAACTGGTGAATGGCATCGATGGCCAACACTGTCTCAGAAATGTAAAACTGGGTCTCCTCCTCTGACAGTGTGTCCTTCTTCATCAGTAAGGTCATCATGTCACCTCATCAAAGAGAAGAAAAGACAGCTTAGGGATCAGAACATTTTAAACCACAAAACTGTAAGAAAACCCAGTAGAATCCAAATTTAACCTTGTAACTGGCCTTATAGTTACTAATCATAAAACTATTACTGCAAGGACCTACAAACCCAACTTACTTTTTTAGCTGAAAATCCTAAACAGGAATTTTAATTGAACAGCCCAAGAAAATACAGTGGATTTTTACACATGTTAAATTTATTGCACAAACTGTTTGAACAAGGGCTTTTCTTCTGGTTTCTTTTTACTGTTAATAGCCTCAATTGTAAAAAGCAGAAATTTCTACTAAAAAATTATTCAATTCAAGTTTATTTAATACCCCTTCAACCTTTTTCCTTCCCCTAAAAATCAGGAATGGTCACATGACTGAAACTTCATTTAAAAGAGTGCAAACATTTTTATTTTCACAAATTATACAACATGTTTGTTCCCAATATTTTATAAAGCTGCCAACAAAAGCTAAGGAAGAAGTACCTGTATCACCTGATGCCACAGCACCCAGCTTACCTCCAGGTAAAAACTCCATGATCAGGTAAAGGTTCCTTTTATCCTGAAAGCTGTAAAACATTTTCACTACCCAGGCTCCATCTGCTTCAACCAAAATATCTCTTTCTGCTCTGATATGGGCCACCTAAAATTTGAAAAAAAATTATTATTAGGCAAATATTGAAATATTTCAACAAGGAACACCACATTACATTCCTAGCCCTACAGCACATTTTCATGATCTTTAGCAAAGGAACTATTTTTCTAGCTCTTTCCATACTCATATTTTCCACTATTTTTTACAAGATCCTAGGGTTTCTCTAGAAACACAAAGCACAGCTTGTTAAACTGGTTCTGTTTGTTAGAAAGAACTGAAAAAGCTGGTGGTAAAAATACAAGTGAGTCGAGGAATATCTGACCTAGCTCAGGGTATTCCAGTTCCACCTAAGGTTTTGGAAAATACAGGGAAAGATGCTACCCCATAATTTGACGGAAATTAAGAATAATGGAGATTGGGGGAGGGGTGTGTATTTTCACTACAACATACCCTCATCTTGGAGGAAAAATTAAAGACATTTGCATGGAAAAATATTTCTTGACAGCTGTAAGAAAAGCAGCAAACAGTCTCCTGCATCTGTTCCCCAGTTCTGCTGCTGAGGAACATCTTCACATGAATCCTGTCACAGGGCTGCATGGGGCAAGGTTCTCCCTCTGCAGGAGACACTTCAGCTTGGATTTATCTGCCTTTATTTAGTCTCATTAGAAACTTTTTTCCACCCTCAACTCCTCAATGCTGCTCTAAAATACAGCAGGAAAACTTTGCCTAAAAATAGCCTGGATTTCTCCCAGTGCTACCAGACTCAGGGGGAAAAATACTAGAAGATTGCTTTTTTTTATGTGTGTCCTCTGTTGTCTCTCCACAGAACAAGGCGGGCAATGAAAATTCCAGCAGATAAACATTGGCCAGGGAAGATCACTGTCTCAAACTGAATGTAGAGCATGATCTCAGACTCCTTCCCACATCAGGTTCTGAAATGGGGGCAGCACCACACAAATCCTGACTCTCTGCACACCCTGCTGCTCCTCTGGTTCCCTAAATTCAGGGCATGGCTGCCGGAGACAAAATAATCTGTGCCAGGAAAAAAGAAGTACCACTGCTGCAGGGAAATGATGTGCCAATGATGGGTAAGGTTTGGACTAGTATGACAAAAGCCCTCTTTTATCTCCTGAGATACCCACCCTTCGTTTCTTTGCTTTGTGGTGCTAAAGTATTTGATGTGTCCTCACAGTGAATTGTTAGCTAAAAAGTAAAAGCAAAAACCAACCAAACTAACAAAATCAAAACAAATAAACCCCCAACAAGATTAACCCAACTATAAAGCAAATCCAAGGAAGACCATGCTGATGAACAATGTGATTTCTGCTGGTTTTCTTTAAAAAAAAACCATCAAATACCTCCATTTTTAATTTGGCACAGGATTATTTTTCCAGAAATATTTTCCTTGAAATGCAGTCACAAAGATTTTATTTTTCTCCCCTTGATAAGGGGAGAAAAATAAAATCTTTGTGACTGTTCCAAATCAGTTGTAAAGAAGTAATTTTTAAATGCAGTTGCATGACCTCATTTCCTAACCTCTGCTGCTTTTGTGCTGTGGTAGCAACAGCACAGACTCTTCGGACTGGCAGACCATTGTAGGGGCTTTCAAAGGTGGAAAAGATTTTCTGGAAAGGGTGAGTTTGCAATTTAGGGGACTTGGAGATGACAAACCTGCTCTTTCTCCAGCATATCTGCTTTTCTCAGTATCTTCATTGCATAAATGTGACCTGTATCCTTCTTCTGAACAAGGCGGACCTTTACGAAGAGAGAGAACCCAGTCAGTCTCCTCTGCCTCAGAAATCCACTGGAAGGCTCCCATTTGCCAGGCATGGAAAAGTTCTCTTGTTAAATACTTAAAAACACATTTAAATATGTTAAATACTGAAAAAGGAATTATTCTGCACCATGTACAACACTAACACTAATGAGGAACAGTTTTTGTTTTAGGAAAACTGAACAGGCACAGTGAATTCCAGGTAGCTTAGGCTATGTAGGTTAAAATTCAGGAGAAATAACTGATGTGACACAGGGCAGAAAGGAGGTTTATCAAGAGGGGTTGTGCCATTGCAAATCCATAACTGCAGAGGGCCATGAGGGCAACATCAGTGTGGGAAGCCAAGAGAAACTAAGTGTCTTTCCAGATGCCTTGGGAAATCAATGCATGTGATTAATCACCAGAATTCTCACACTTGGAGAATGACACAAATCGCTGCCATTCTGCAATAAAACAATTCATCAAATTGTAATTAGAATGTTTCATTATAGTGGCCAATTCCATTTTAATCTCCTGTTCAAGCAAGAATGCCACAAACCTCCCCAAATGCTCCTCTTCCTATGACTTTCAAAGACTCGAAGTCATCCAAGCCAAGCCTGGTCCTCTTGAGCCGCAGGAACTCGGTTTCCTTGCGAGCGTGCTGTGACCGGCGCAGCTTTTTCTGGGGACACAGCACAGCAACCTGTCAGTCAGCTGGCAACAGAGAGTCAAGATGTGCACCCTCCCTTCCTGGGAAGTTGTTCTCTGGAATCCCAACAGGAGAAAAACTTCTCCTTCTACACTTCATTCTCATAGTCCTTGAGAATGGTCTTTTCTGTAGAAGTCTCAGGCACAGTTTCCCACCTTTTTTTGGTTGGTGGGTGGTGGTGTTTTAATTTTATTACTTGGTGGTGCTTTAATTTTATTACTTAATTGTTAAAAAAAAAAGAGAAAAATTATGAAGAAAAACTATCATACTGGTTCAAACAAAGTGTATCAGTCCCAAGGCCAAAGTCACTGCCTGAGGCAAGGACTTTTTTTTGGTGGTGTGAAGGACAGATAAAAGCTGAAACTTATATCCCAAGTGATGACAGGCAACAAGGAGCTTAACAAGCAGCAGAGGCCCTGGTTACAGATCTACAACAAAATCCATTTGCTTTATGGCAGGCAAGCACTCAATTCTGAAAGAAAAATCTGTCCAAATGCCATCATCTATTTTGTCTGATGAAAATGTCACTGGGATTCACCCCGAGAGAAGACAAATGCTGCACCCAAAGATGCTGAGAGCTCACAGTCTGCTAAGGAGGTCCCTGGATCAGGTACCTGCCAGACTCTGTGCTGGGACTACAGCATCCTTTAAAGCCACAAGATGGCAATACACACCCACACTTCATATTCCCACTTCTCAGGAGTTACAGCAGCCACAAAAACTCCAGAAGGACTGACACACTTCCTACTTATTTCCCAGCCTATCCTGAAGGCAGACATGGTGTAATGGACCTCAGAAAAGCAACTCATTGACCAAAGTTCTCAGAGATGGCAACCAGATTGAGATCTCTCCTCATCTGTATCCAAAAGGAGCAAAGGTGTGATGGTTAATTGTTTAAATCAAGGAAAAATGGTTCAGCATTTTGCTTACTACCCACTTCTAACCACTTTTTTTTTTCTTGCCAAATATAACAGCAAACAATTTTAATCTTTGCAAAGCTTGCTAGCTATTTGCTGTGGCCATGTCTCATAAGAACTGCAGGTAGCATGAAAAGCCTTGGATAGCTATTGCAAGTACCAGTCAAGCATATTTACAGCTTTCCTAACATTTACAGGTTATTAAAGGGGCAACACTCATGTGCAAAATAAAACCTTCTGTCATGCTGGCTGATGCTTCTGTGAGCTCTTCAAATGTCCATCTGAAGCAGTGGGACAAAAGCAAAGCAGTTTGTAAGGTTACTTAAGCAGCATTTACCTCCTCATCTGCAAGGCCTTCCTCTTCCATAGCCACTTCCAGCTTCTTCTGCCTGCCAAGGAGAAAACCAGGGGATTGCACCTTGTATTATTTACTAAAAACAAACATAACACCACAGCAAGTCAACACCTTTGCTTCACATACTCCAAACACTGAAGAATTTGCCTCAGATGGAAATTTGCAGGCAGACAGCCCCACTCCATCCAGTTACTCATTTGTGAACAAAGCTGAGGAAAATGTAAAAGCAAATTTAAGCACATGTATGTACTTATGCACTTGCAGAATCAGGCATTAAACCTATATGAAAAAGTATGTTATTAGAGTGAATGTATCTTGTTGAATTAAGACTGTTTTTATCAATTAGGATTACAAATCAGAATAAAAATTGGTTTTTTCAGCATTTCTATCTCATCTCCATCTCCCACATGCCAGCCTGCTCCAGCTTCCATCCCCTCTGTGTGATGACCTCCCCCTGGTCCTGCCCCCTTTCTTCCCATACCGACTAAACTCTACTCCCTGGATGCACCATTATCTTCCCCACAGTGTCCTGCCCAGGCCAGGGCTCACAGCTCCAAGCCTTCCCCCAGTGCCATGCCAGGCTGGGAGGCTCTGAGAGGGGAGCAAAGCCTGGGAATACCCCACAGGTGGCAGAGGTCAGCACATGGCAATGGGGCTGCAGGACCCCTTTCTGTCCCTTTCCTTTCTGTCCACCCACAGGATGCTCCTTTACAGCTGCCAGGGTGCAGCTTTCTGAAGGCTGGTTACCCCCTGCAGCAGGCAAGAATTCAAAGACTTGGAGCCAGGCTGTTGGTGCCTTTCTGCACTTTGGGAAGTACAGCAGGATCCTCTAAATTACAGGCCCTTGATAGACAGTTTATTCTCCTAACTAGAAGCAACTCCATTACATGGAATAATGACTAAATATGATGAAGAGGGAAACCCTGCTGCTTGACTGAAAACCCTTCAATTAAAAACATATTACCAGAGGAATGATAATTTCACACACTAATGACAATCCAACACAGGATTCATTAAGCCACACACTTGGTGCTTTGACACCTAATTCAAGTGGCACTTCACACCTCAGAGACAGGAGTGGGCACTGCTGGGAGGAGCTGAGTGGGGATGACCATCCCACACTCCCATGCAAGGAGTACCAGGCAGCACCACCCAAGCAGAATTTACAGACTGGGATTACACTATCCCCAGAAGTCTTCCTGCCCACCTGAGAGCCTCTCAAACCCTCCATCATAAACCCCCTATTTCTTTGCTGCCCCTTATTTCCACACCAGCTCTTTGCTTCCTTTCCTTACCCCATCATCCCATCAAACACCTCTCAGCCCAGTTCCCTGTCTCCTACACACTCCCTCCTGCAGGGTTTGGGACTCTTGGCATGAGCTCCATGGTGCAGAGCAGGAACAGACACCACAAGCAGCTGCCTTACCCCAAACCAAGCTCCCACCCCTCAGCAGCCCTGCAGAGTTCATTCCCTGGGGCCCCTGCAGAGGAATCAGACGTCCCCAACCTCACATAGAAGGAGAAACCTCACATATTACTCCAAAATAACACCCTGCACAGAGTAGTTTCCACTGATGAGGAGCTGAATTGCACAAAAACATCAGAAGTGGAGCTCTTTGACCACTCGGTGACTGGGATGTTCACAGGTCCCCCCAAAAACAGCCTGTGCCTTCTAGGAATTCACTCTCTGCCACCACATACAGAAGAACTTCCCAGAGCTGCCCCATCCCCGGGGACTGAAATACCCTTGAACAAACAGCAAGAAAAGCTGCAGAGGAGTGAGGGGAAGCAGAGGCAGTACCTGGTTTCCCTCTCCTCATGCTGTATAATCAGGTTGCTGTAGAAGTTCTCCAGTGTAAGTTTGGCCACCGTCACTCTCTCCCGGGTGTGGTTACTCATGGGAAAGGATGTTGTAGTCCCTGCAGTCATCGCCATGGTAACATGTACTGAAACAGAGCAGGGCAAATCATTACTCACTTCAAAAAGAAAAATAAAATATATATTCCTCTTCCCCACTCTCCAAGTTCTTAGGCACTCCAGAATTCACAGTAAAGGCACTGTTCTTTAGATATAAGAAACTCTATTAAAAGCTGCCTTATAAAATTATCCCAAGATAGCAGGAGGATGTGCTACCCACTCTAAAAAATAACAACATGTTGGCAAAACAAAGAGTGAATCATAGCAAAGAGCACTGCACGCTCTGGGCAGCTGACCCAGCTGTGCTTGTCCACAAATAAGGAAAATGTCCCTCTGGCAGACCTGGGCCCAGCCTGGGGGAGGGAAAAGGGTAGGAGAGAGAAGGATCAGGCAGCTCCCAGAGCTGGACTTGTCACAGCTCTGTGACAATTTCAGACTCCAAAAATTCTAGATGATAAAAAAAAAAGGGTGGAATAAAATGAGACAGCAAATGGAAAAAAAGCCTAACCCCAGTCCAGAGAAGTTATTTCAAGGATAAAGATAACCATTGAATATATTTGAATTTTAAAACTGCTCCATAAAGTTACACATGGCCAGGTAGTACTTATGGCTTAAGGCACATGGCCACTGGGCACCTAAAAACTGGGAAGAAAGAAGAAAGAAAGGAGAAAGAAGAAAGGCTGCACTCCTTGAGAGCTTTTATCCTGAACCCAAGGAACTTGGATGTACTGGAACAACACTTTTTAATGCTGGAAAAAGACACCTCAGGGAAGCTCTGAATGCCCTGCAGCTGATCTAGGAAAGCCAGGGGAGATTAAAAAAACCAAAGAACCAGCACAGTTTGTCCTAAGATTCATGTCCTACCTGGAAGTGAGCTGAGGCACTTCAGGAGAGCTTCATGGAGGAAAAGCATGAAAAGCAGCATCTCAGCCCCACTCCCATTTGGTCAGGTTGTTTTGGAAGTTCGTTTTGGAAAATTACACAGAAGTACACAGCACCATGTGTACATCACCTGTCTTCTGCACACAGAACCATGGAATGGCCTGGGTTGGAAGTGACCTCAAACACTTTGTTCTCCACCCCCCTGCCATGGCAGGGACACCTTCCACTGTTCCAGCTTATCCAGAGCTCCTTCTGGGCTTGGACACTGCCAGGGATCCAGGGGCAGCCCCAGCTTCTCTGGGCACCCTGTTCCAGGGCCTCAGCACCCTCACAGGGAACAATTTCTCCCTCATATCCAATCTAACCCTGCTCTCTGTCAGTGTGAAGCCATTGCCCTCTGTCCTGTCACTCCAGGGCCTTGTCAAGAGCCTCTGCATCTTTCCTGTGGGCTCCCTTCAGGCACTTGGCTTCCTTTTTATTATTTATTTAATGCTTCCATTTCCCCAGAGGATTGTGCAGAAGACAAATCCTGAATTAGGCTTAATTTAAGCAGATCCTAATGGCTTTGAAGGTGAACTGATTAGGGGCTCATACAGAAGAGAACTTGCACGTCCACACTGGGGCAGGAGGATGCCTGAACTCTGCTCCTGGCTCTTTGTTTTGATTCTGCCTGCTGCACTCTGAGAGGGTGGGATTTTTTCCTGTGCATTTTTCATGGGATCTGATGTGACAATAGGATTTTTGTTGCCAGAAATGCAGCTGCTGGGTCACAAATAAAGGCGTTTTATGGCATCATGTGGATATTATTTTAGCTGTTTATTTTGAAGCGCACAAGACACCAGAATTCTGAGAATAAAAATATATCTCTCCATAAAGGCACAAAGAGGTTTTAATAGCACTACAGCTGCTTCAAAGTGATGCCAATATTTCTATTTTTAATCAAACTTTTATTCCCTTCAGTTTTCTACTGAAGAAAGATGAGATCTGTCAATTCCTAGCAGTGTTTACTAAAACTTAGGCAGTTCTGTTCTTCACACAGAAACATCCCCCATGCTGGACACATCTCCAAAAGCCAGGAGAACTTAGCACTGGTCTCTCTGCTGTGTTTATTGTACAATTTTACACTTTTTCCCTCAATAGGTGGGAAAAGATAAATACAAATCAGCTGATAAGAGCAAATCAAACAGAGCCACAGCTGACCACACACCGGCATCTGTGATTAAGTTATTTCAAGAAATGACCTAATGGAGTAAAAACCTGCCTTCTAATAATTTTGGAACATCAGGATAGAGCAGCATTAAGCCAGGCTTGAAATGGATTAACCTTTACTTAAGGTATAGCAGGCTCACTCTCACACCAGATATTTCTCCTTTGCACGTCTTGTATTCCTGGTAGGATAAACCAACACTGCAACTTGATTTCCTCTTCATTTGTTTTGCCCATGCTCTACACTCACAAATGCAGGCACTGCCAGACAGCAAATCCAAGTCACTGGGTTTTATTAAACTTGTAAAAAGGATTTCCCAATCCCAGCACTGACACCCCACACTATCAACAGCAGGACTGACCCTCATATGCTTCACAGGAGGGAAAGACAAATAAGTGTCCCCAGTTAGCTCTGCCACCGTGGGGAGAAAACCAGCCCACAACCACCACAAAGAAAATATTTGTAAAACCAGGAGACGCCTTAAGCTCTCCAGAGTCCCCAAAGTAAATGAAAAAGAGCACAGACCTGGCAGGAGGCACAAGATATCCCACAAAATCCTGTGCGAACTCACAGCCGAGAAAACCTCTTCAGCCTTTTTCCTTTTTCCTCCTGTCTCTGCTTCCACTAGCGAGCCCCCAAACACAGCACAAATCCACATCCCAGACAAAATATTCAGCTGGGAGTCACCAAGTACTTAAGCATGACCTTTAAAAACAAATGATGCAGAGGGATGGGGGCGGGAAGGAAGGAGCTCCAAAACAGGACCTTTTATTGACAGCACACTACTTGTACTGACCTCACCACATTAACGGGAATGCTTTGAAAAGGTGCCACCCATGATTCTTGGAAATGCCCTCACAAGCCTAATAGTTCACCCAAATCCATGCCACCTCCATAATGGAACCATTCCACTCCTGCAGCATCACTGGAATTACTTTAGGCTCCCTGGACCAAGAAGAATGTCATATTCAACCAGCTAGCCACATTTAGCCAGAACTCCTCTGGCTGACAGGGATCTTTCTGAAGGGCCTGGAACATCCCCAAGTGTGAGGAAGAAAGACATCAAAGGGCTGCAATGGACAGGAGGCGCTGAGCCCGCGGGACCAGGGATGCCATATGTGCTGCCTGGCCCGGGAAATGAGCCCGTGCCTCCTGCAGGCATGGCTGCAATCCCAGCCTGAGCTCTCCTCATGCCAGCTCAGCACCTGCAGCAAGGGGATAAGGAGCTATGGATGTGCAGCAGCCAGGGAAAATCTGGCTACCAGAGGCAGGAGGGAGAACAGCACAGAGGGGAGGAGAAGAGAGGAGAGGAGGGATGTTCCCCAAGGATGAGGGAGAGCAGAGAACAGCTACAGAAAGGGGAGAGCAGCCAAATGCTACTGAACTGGAGCCTTCAAGAGATGTCTCCAAGCAATCCCCTCCTGATCCATCATTGAATAGAATATGTCAGCTGGATACAACTCTCGCTCTCCCTCCTGGTAGAAAAATGTTGCCTAATCAAAGCATACATTTGACCTTTTTGTTCCCAGATCTTTCCTGACTGGGAAGCAGAGAAAGGCCAAGCAGCATTGACTACAACTTCAATCTGCGCTCCCATTTGTCACAACAGCTCTAAATCAAACTCTGCATCTGTTTGCCTGGAGTTCCCACCCTTTAAACCCCCACCCCCAGATTCTGCTACACCACTGCTAACTCCAAACCCCCCCATTCTCTCTGGGGCACCTCTTGGCAGCTCCCAGAGCCTGTCATTAATGTTTTCATTAAACTATTGGATTAAGTCTGTTATTAATGAGTGCAAAAATCACTGAGGCATCCAATCCCACCTGCTGCAGCAGCTCCAAAGAGGAGAGATGGAAGAAATCAAAGCGAATGGAGAACTGCTCTGCCCAGAAACACAGCACTTTGTGGGATCACTTTCTAATAAGGAAGGGATAAGAAGATAGAATCCAAGCCTCCTGCACAGGCAAGTCTCCTGCTTGTCAGTAAGAAGAGCCACAGGATATTTCAAATCAGGCTGGATCTATACTATCAAACTAATCTGAACCTAAGTCACACACTGGAAACATCAGGGTTCTTTTTGAAGCCACGTGTGTAATACAGTTATATAGTAGCCCTAGAATAAATTTACCCAGGACTCAGTGAGTATTTAAGTTAGGGAGCAAACCCCACATTCAATTCTGCCAGAGAGAAAAACACCTTTTTTTCCAAATGCTGCTGGTCTCCAATTTGGATTTACAATGTCAAGCTACATACGTGTTCAGCAGGACGGGGAAGAGCAGTCCTCCCTCCAAAGTGCCATCAATTCACAGAAAGACTGATAATAATTTTATTTTCATCCACCCAAGCATACCCCTAAAAGCCCAGCAGTTAGGAAGGCAGTTTGCTATTTCAGTAAAAAACTGCCAAATTAATGAAATTTCCATTTAACATTCCAAGAGAATTTGCCTCCTGAATCAAAGCCCCTGGATAAGTAACATACCAAAACATATTTTTGCCTTTCAAAATTCCCATGGTTTCAGCATGATATTGAACTTGCTCCTGAAATGAAGCATACAAATGGCATTTTTCAAGAATTAGGAAGTAAAAGAGAAAGGAGAGACGAAGCCAACACATAGAGCACAATGAAGTGAGTACCTTCAAAATTCCAGCTGTCACCACCGTGCCCAGAGCTGGGGCTCTTCTGGGTAAGAAGTGAGAGCAGACTCTGCCTGGCTCCTTCCAGACAACCCAGCCCAAAAACTCACCAAGCTGGGCACTAAACCCCAAGGCTGACAAGGATTATATTAAAAAATGACAAGGATTATATTTTAAAAATGAGGTGCTATCTAGGAAAGCAGCACAGACACAGCAAAGCTTTGAGCACAAGCGCCAGCCCCACAGTCTCCAAATTGTTTGAATTCTCCTAAAGAGAGACAGGATATATATAAAACTGGAAAAAACCAACCCACCATACACAAATAACAGCATGATTCACACCAAGGGGCAGTGGGCAGGGCCAGACAAATGAAAAAAACAGCCCAAGGCTCAGCAGGATGATGTGGTGGGATGTACTCTGAGCAGCTTCTGAGACGTGCAGCCATATGTGGGGTGAGCAAACAGACAGCAGAGATAAAAATGCTGTGCAACAGCTGATAGTTCCAGTGAGGGAACAGGAGGAGAAAGTGCCATCAAGCCCAGGAGGAAAATTACTTTCTGCACCACAGTTTCTGCTAGCACAGGTTTGGCAACTGTGCTGGGCATATTTTCACCATCCAATTGTTTATACTGAACCTCCTCCTGCTGAGGATCACAGAATGGCCTGGGCTGGAAGGGACTTTGAAGCCCATCCAGTTCCACCCCCCTGCCATGGGCAGGGACACCTCCCACTAGCCCAGCTTGCTCAGAGCCCCATCCAGCCTTGGAAAATTGCAGGGATGGGGCAGCCTCAGCTTCTCTGGACCAGGGCCTCAGCACCCTCACAGGGAACAATTTCTTCTTCATATCCAATCTAAACCTGCTCTGTGTCAGTTTGGAGCCATTGCCCCCTTCTCCTGTCACTCCAGGCCCTTGTCCAGAGTCTCTCTCCATCTTTCCTGTGGGCTCCCTTCAGGCACTGCAAGGCCACAGTGAGGTCACCCCAAAGCCTTCTCTGCTCCAGGCTGAACATTCCCAATTCCCTCAGCCTTTCCTCCCAGCAGAGCTGCTCCATCCCTCTGCTCCCCTTGGTGTCCCTGCTCTGGCCTGGCTCCAGCAGCTCCCTGTCCTTGCTGTGCTGGGCCCAGGGCTGGATGCAGCCCTGCAGGGGGCTCAGCAGAGAGGGGCACAGGGGCAGAATCCCCCCTGCCCTGCTGCCCTGGGGCTCTGGGTGCAGCCCAGCACTGGGAGGTTCTATCTTCTTTTGCTATAACCTAGTTTTAATCCTATTCCAAAGCTTTTGATTAACCTCCAGAAACAACCAAAACTCAACAGGACCCAGAAGTCTCCAAGCAGCAAGCTGACAAGAAAACCTCACTAGTCCTATCGATGTAAATCATGGGCCAGTATTTTTCAACTCTTGGAGTGTGATCTTAATATTTGTGTTATTTCTAAGTACAGCTTTCTGTGCTTAGAACAGAACCTTGTCCAAAGTTCACTCATGTCAACAAAAAACCCCTTCAGCTCAATGGGTTTTGACCTAATAGTCCCATTCCAGCCTCAGGATGATGCTAACTGCTGTTAGTGAGGTTCATAATTATCAGATCAGCATGTTTGCCAAGCACTGCTCTGGGGTATGTTTCAGACAGAAAAATAAATATTTTGTTCCTCCTTAATTCACGTCTTCAGTAATATCACCATTCACAAGCCCCTGTTTTATTTAATCTGCTACTGAAAGGAAACAACATTCCCTGCCAGATAAAACAAATCAGATATTTCACATGCAGATTCTTTTCTAACACTATTGCCATGACCAGATCCTTCAGTTGTTACAACAGTCTCCTTTTGGGAAGGGAAAACAAAATAAGACTGCAACATGCCATCACTGACACTTCAGCATTTCATTAACCCTGTTTATTTACTTCATCTCCTTTAGCCTTCCTTCCCCAATGTGCATTATGGTTGAATGAGTTTTGTTACTTTAAAGTTACAGAATTAATTACATTTGTTCTATTTAAAGAACCACTAAGAAACCACGTAAAATTAGCCCCATTGGAACAGGCTTTGCTATTTAAAAGCCAAAGATGTCCAAATGTTTTAGCCATTTTCAGCCATTCTTCCCCCATGGGGCATCTGGGTGAGGCGCCTGTTATGGCCCCAGCTAAAAGCAGAAAGTGCTCCATGACTTGTGAACCAAAAGGAGTGGACACTCCCAGTGCCTGATCCCCAGGGCTGTGACAAAACCCTGGGGAGACACTGCCGGGCACACAGGACTCAGGATGCAAACACTGCACGAGTCCTGCAGCCACTGTGATGATGATGATGATGACACCAGGGAAACCTGGGGGACAGCAAGACCCAGAGAGCATTTTGGGGTGTCAGCAGCCAGCTCCAATATACTCCCCAAACACCAGAAGACTTTTATGCAGCCAAAAAAGATGTTTTCAAGATGAAGAAAAGAAAGGTACTTTCCTGCCTTGAGGTTGATTCCTAAACCTAAAAACATCCCAAAATAGCAGTGTGGGGCTCTGATGAGAGGAGGCAAAAAATCCCTCTCCCAAGCAGCAGGAACCCCTCCCAGGCCAGACCAGGGCTATGTGTGTGCTGTAAGCTGGCACAAGCCAGGACTGTCTCTGAAAGGAGCCATCCCATTTTCCATCCAACCATCTGTTTGTTTCCCTCCTGCTGCCGCTCGTGCTTTGTGCCAGCACAGGAAGCTGCACGACCCACACTGAGGAACCATTACCAGGCTGAAATAAATTCTTTTTAAAATAGTTTGGGTGAGGCTGGTTTCACCTTCAGGGATTGACAAAGGCCACCCTGCCCCAGGCTGAGCCCACTTGGCCCTTCCCAGGAGTCAGTCCAAAGTGGGAAATAAGCAGGCATGGCCTCCTCGTCTTTTAATCTGGCTCACAGAAATTAATCTCGGAAATCATTCCAACACACCCGCAGTAATGATAAGGAAACATTTCCTAATATGGAATAAAAACTGAA